GTACACCCCCCACCAGAGCCTCCCCTGGGCACATGTAGTCCCGGGTTGGCCCCGGGATACCCTCCCCCATAACATCTGAACCACACATGTGAGGTCGGCCGGAGGATGGGACCAGGGTGCACCAGGGACCCCAGATGTAAGCAAGCAAGAGGCAATGGTGGACAGCAGGCTTGGGAGGGTTGGAAGGTCAGGGTGCTAGCCAAAGCAAAGCCAGCCTGGTGGGCACGGGATGCCCTCTTCCAGCCACCCTGGCAACTCTGGCAGCTCCAGGGCGGGGGAGGACTGGGGCAACGGCAGAGCTGCCCCATCAGCCGTCTTCACCACCTCACAGCTGCTCCACTGTGCTCCGGGCCTGGAGAGCAGCAGACGGCAGGCGCTGGAACAGAGGGGCCTTTCTTCCCAGGTGCTGGTCCCCAGGGCTGGGTGCCAAAGGAGGCAGTGCCAGGCAGGAGCAAGAAGCTAGGAAAGGTCCTGGTCCCAGGCCAGCCCAGTTGGGCACCAGGAGGGCCACTCGCTGGATGCCGAGTCCCACAGGCCTCAAGGAACACCTTGACATCCCTCCTGCCCTCATCTCTGACCCCAGGCAGCAGACAGCCCAGCCGACAGCCACCAACGGGGGACAGGGAGAAACACGGGTACCTCCAAGGAAGAGAAGCAGGACACTTCCCAGAGAGGACCCTGCTGGATATCCATGAAAAGGCCACCAAAGGCCAGATACTGCAGGATGCCACCAACAGGGGGCCCAGTGGGTCACTCAAACACAGGTAGGATGGGAGACGCAGGAGGGGGAGATGCTCATGTCCCTCTCCGTCGTTACACAGCGTCTACGCGCTTGCTTGATAGCACCGTGCCAGTGGGCAAGTGCAAACAGGAGTGGCAGGAGGCAGGGGAGTCTGTTCGCTGGGGACAGAAAGACCGGTTCTGGAGACACAGGTGGTGACAGTTGCCCCACACAGTCCTCGTGCTCAGTGGTCTCCAGAGGGTGCCCGCAGGGTGGGAGTGGTGGGTTTGTGGCATGTGCACTGTAGAGGGCAAAAAGCCCAAGACGGCTCACGGCAAGTTCTAAAGCAGGCGGCGAGGGCCCAGGGGCTCCCCAGCCACGCACTCCTTCCTGTCCCTCATGTCCAGTGCCTGCCCTGGGGGCCTCCGTGCAGAGCTAGCCAGCAGGTCCAACAAGCCCACCCTCTGGAGGAAGGCGTGCAGATCCTGGGGGACGGTGTAGGGTGAAGCCCAAGGAGGGGTGGACCCCTGAAGGCGGCGGACCTGCCAGGGGCTCCTCCTCTGACTCCTCCACTCGCGGAAAACAAACTCTGGAGCAAAGAACACAATTTCCAGAAACTGCACCTGTTACCTCACACTGAGGAACAGGGGCAGGTGGGGGTCTTCTGCAGTGGGGAGCAGCCCCACACAGTTCCCCTCCCACCTCCAAGACAGCAACAGGGCCAGAGACGCAGCCCAGCCCCCGTCACAGAGGTGCACCCAGCGGGCACGGCCCCAAGGGCAGCTGCATGTCCACTGCTTTTCCCACACCTGTCTGCTCTCTTCCCAGACACAGGGCCAGACACCCCAGCCCTCCCCACCTAGCCCCTGCTCCAAGGGCTCTGGCCACCCGTGTCCTCCTGGGGCGTGGCAGCAGCCAGCTGGTGTCCACCCAGTCTGCACTTTGCCCTCCACCACGGGGACACGCAGGGGAACAGGGAACTCTGGTTTCCTCACATCTTCCAGGGCGGCAGGAGTGCAGGGGACGCAGGAGACATGGGGGGACGGGAGATGGATCCCACTGCTAGAAGCCCCCACGTGCAGCCTGGGCGGGAGGCAGGGCCATGAGGAGGCAGCGTGGGTCATCAGGGACCAGGGCAGGCAGGTGGCCGAGTCCTCACGCCCTCCAGCCCAGCTTCCTGCAGAAGGCCCCCACAGGCACTGTGAGGACTCAGCCCCAAGACCACGTGCCCGCGGCCCCACAGGCAGGTGTGCAGCAAGCATCGTGCAGTAGACGGGGAGCTGGCAGTCTGTCCACCTGGAGGCCAGCCTTTCTGCACATTCAGCAGAGCTGCACTGACCAACCTGCGCTGGCTGCCACCCACTGCAGGCTTTAGGTCGCCACCTGCCCCATCATGATCCAGCATAGTGGGGTGGCCCCAAGCTGATGCCCGCCATAGCCCACGGGCCAGCAGCAGGGGCATCTCAGGTGAAGGTGACTACAGACCACTGGTCATCTCTGGATGGAACAGCCACAAGGACACTCACAGGAGATGTCCACTGGGTGGCATCTGGGGGCAGAATCAAATAAGGAACAAGCTTCTCCAAGGGTGGAAGCCCACCCAGGACCAGGGATCTCAGGGTTCCTGGGAGAGACACAAGACCTCGGAGTGGTGAGGACATTTGAAGGGGGACAGGGACTGAATTTAGACTGAACCTCAGGTCTCTCCCCAACAGCTAGCAAAAGAAAAAACAGAAGCCATCGCAGAGGTGGCTTTTCATGCCGTGGCTGCGTTCCTGAGGTGCCGAGCCACAGGTGGGCTTCCTGTGGATCATGCCCATCTGGCCAGTCACTGCAGCAGGGGATAGGAGAGGGCCGAGGGCCTCACCGCCCTTTCCTACCATTTTCTGTTGACTGTGGTGTATTTCCAAGTGTTTATGTGAACTCGGGTTTGGCAAGAGGGATCCGGAGCCCTTAGCACCTAACCAGGGCGCCAGGCCTATGGCAGTGCAGGGTGGGGTGGGGTGCAGCCTCCCCTGCGGTCCTGGTCCGACCCTTCCCAATCACTCCCCGTGGAGAAGCAGGAGCCAGGTTTCCTCCCTCCTCACCGCCCTCCACCCACATCCTCCACCTGGAGCATAAAAGGCCACAAAGATGGCAGAGGACAAGGCACGCCCCACTTCACAGCTGCTGGGTGGAGAGTACGGATGCCAAGCACCAGGGGCACCAGGGCTGGGCCTGGTGCCCGCGGCCCCACAGGCAGGTTTGCAGCAAGCATCGTGGAGTAAACAGTGACCAGGCCTCGAGCTGAGAGGCAGCTGGATGCCAGCCCCCACCAGGAATTACGCCTGTTCCCCAGAGCAAGGCCCCACCCTGTGGCCCTGGCACGCAGCAGGCACTCCACATGGCCTCTCTCCCTCCCACAGGGAGGGACCACAGGGGGAACTGCCTGGTTCCTGAAGACCTGGGGACCCACCGCTTTGGTGGCTGTGATGACCCTGCTCTGTGCGCCTACGGCCAGCCTGAGGTGGTGCTGTGGCTGCAGGCAGCAGTGGAACTGGCTGCAAGGCAGAGCCGCCCGCCTCAGGCTCCACAGGACACCTGGGACCTAAGCAATTAGCTACGCCTTCTCTCAAACCCAGAGTGGGCGCTGCAAAGCCCCTCTTTCTCTCCGTCACTGGCTGAGGCCCGCACACTCGTCAGCTACCAGTCTACTGGATGTCACCGTAATGGGGCCTTTCTGCATCTCTTGACCCTGGAACATCACAGTATCTAGAGGATTGAAAACAATGAAGAATGGCTCCTTTTTTTAATTGGTAATAACAGGGCAACTTCCTGATCATGAAAGGCCACAAAGATGGCAGAGGACACAAAAAGACCAACAGAATGAACACAAAAGAGACCAACAGTGTCCGTGTGTCCATGTTTTATTTATGTAGGTACCATTAAAATACAGTGTGCCTTCAGGGTCACATTTCTACAATTAAGCATTAAATACCGATCTCTTCTCCACCCAACCGCCCACGCCACTCCCCCAAAACCACACACAGCAAACTCCTCTGCAACCTCACTTTAAACCACAAGGGACACTTGCTCCTGGCCCAACCTGGACACTACTGCATGGCTCGCACCAGAATGCTCCTGGTCTCCACAAGGCTGGACTACACTGCTGGCATCTTGAGGCCATGGCAATGCTCGCTTCCAAGAGGACAAGGAAAAGCAGGTCCTCGTGTTAAAAGGGAAGGGCATGTCCTGGGAGGAACATCCAGGCAAGTTGGGCAACACCAGGTCTCCTTGGTGCTCATAAAAGCCAGGTTAGGCGGCCAAGCATCGAGCAAACGGAACAGGTACAGGAGGCTAGGCAGAGTCTAGATAGAAGAAAATGTGTCAGGGACCAAAGTCTGCAAACTGAAATTTCAGCACAAGCTTCGTGCTCAAAGCTGACTGATTGCATCTGTGTGTGCACGCACGCAGACAGGTAAGTAACCCAGTCTGTTCTCCCAGCAAGACCCTGAGCCACAGAAGCTGAGGTGGCACTGCTGAGCAAACCTTCTTGCTTAAAAGAACAACTGTGGGCCCAAGCAGAAAAAATGAGATGTAGCAAACACTAAATATTTGGAGTCAAATTTGGACTACCTGGAAAGGATTTAAACTGGAACAATAAATACTAGAAATGGTCTTACATCTCAAGTGACTTGTGAGGGTCTGCTATGTGTGGCAAATTGCTCTGAACAAAAAGTACCCTGCCAGCCACGGTTTCAGGTGCAGTGTACATTATCTTCAAGTTCTGCTGCACTTAACTACATCCTAACTCCAAGCCCCGAGCCACCAGGAAAGGAGGCCGTGTGTGTCATGAACACCGGGTTCCCAGCAGCACCTCATACGTAGCCTTCTACAGTTACGAACACCTCAGTAGCTGGTGTGGTGGCTGAACAGCTGGAAAGAATGAGACAGACCCTTCATAATTCTAGAGAAAAACGCTCACAGATTTAGTGCTGAGGAAAAGCAGAGTCAGAAAGTCAAGACCACCCGTGATGTCACCCCATCTCCAGTGCCCCTGATCCTACCGATCTGTGAGCGCACGTCGTAATCCTGCTAAGCAAGGTGGCCCTGGGACAGCACCGCGAGTGCTGCTACCTAGCGCGTGCCCGGCCATGCGAGCGAGGCTGTGCGCGGCTGCAGGGCCAGTCCAGCCTAGTGGTTCCCTTTGGTCGACTTCTTCTTCTTCGACTCCTCTCTCTGCTTCTGCTTCTTCCTCTTGCCACCTTCTTTGAACCCTAAGGAAACACGGCTTGTAAAACACTGCACACCAGCAACTGCTTCCCCATGAGACACAGGCAGGTGGCTAGAAACTTCCCCACGTTGAAAAGAAAGCAAAAAAGGCCATCGGTCTCGTCCACGTCTAACCTCCACAAAGACACGCACTGCCGTTCTGAACCCCACGTGGAAAGCCTCTCGGGTTGCTCACAAGCCACCCACACAGGGCCCTGAGCAGATGCACAGCCAAGACCCAGGGCGCCTCACCACCTGCAGGCCCCAGGTCAGGCGGAGAAGGCAGCGCCTGCCCATCTCTCACCCGGGACAGAGCCCCTTATGTCCCCTTGAGTCAGATGGTGCATGACCAACCTGTCCAGCCAATCAGAAGAAAGACTGCTCACCCTGGGTATTCTGCCCCAAGGGCCATGAACAGCCAGTCCCCAGCCCTGTGGGTGGGGAGTGGGCCGGAGCTGAATCGGGGCCACCTCCCCCACACAGGTCCCTGCACACCCGTGGCTGCCTGGGCTTCAACTGGGAATGTCAGCACAACAGGAAGACAAAGGTCAGACTGCCAGAAGCCAAGAACAGGGTCAGCACAGCAGTGACAGGGGCCACCTCCCACAGACACCAAGCCTCAGGGTCCACGCTGTCTTCTCTCATGACTTTCACATGCCGAGTCCTTCTCAGTTTCTTTTCTAATGGCCACATGCTCCTGACAGGCCCACAGGGTGCTGGAGCCAATGTGGAAGAGGAATACACCTTTCCACATGTTACTTCAAGGTGGCTGGCTGCAGCTCAGCCTGTACCTCTAAAACGAAGCAGAGCGATTTTAAAGGAAGTCAGCGATCCATGGCCACAGCAGGGCAAAGGCCACCAAGCCCAGGTGCGGTCTCACACCACCTCCTCTGCAACGGGAGACGGTCCCACTCCCCAGACCCCAAGGCACCCGCTGTCTGCTTCAGCAGGCACGATGCACAGTCATTCCATCCCTTAGAAGCAAGGGTACACTCCGACACTGGGCAAGGAGAGCGAGCTCCTGGGAAAACCAGGCCACTCTGCGGTGCAGCCGAGAAGCCGAAGTGTGAAGCTGGGGTCCCTAGCACTTCAAGGTGACAGTGTTCCTTATTATACACTGCTTTTTAAGGAAAAAAGGCCCAAACTTGCAAATTCAACAAAAAGGCAATGGCAGGGACGTTCAAGGCCACAGGGGAGCATGCAGAAGACAGCCAGAGTGTCTAAGTGTTCTGGGCTGGCTTGGCTCCAGGCCACAACTGCAGGAAGGCACACCCTGGCTCCGTCCTCTCCTGACACCTGGAGCACCCAGACCTGCAACCCAGATGAGCAAGTCCTGGAGGCAAACCCTCTTGCTGGAGGGGAGAAGCCCCAGGGTCATGGCTCTGCTGCGCTGGGGAGGGGACACTTGGTGTCCAGGGCACTTCCTCTACTCCGCTCCGGCCTCCCTGCCTCCTGCCTCCCTGACTCCTGCAGAGGGCTCAGCATGCTGCACCTGCAAGGACCCATGCTCCTCAGCTCTGGTGCTCTTCTTCAGGCCTGGGACCTGAGTACAGGGAAAGGCAACCCGACAGCTCTGGCACATCCAGAGCCTCCCCTGACGGGGGCACAGACCAGCAATGCCCCAGCTCACCACACGCAGGGGCCGATGGGCAAGGACGGCACCGCCCACCTCTCCTGTGCAAGGATTTCTGAATTCACAAGTCTACTGTTTTTCCCATTCAAAAATGGCATCTGGTCAGAACCCGATGACACGTGGACCAACGACTTTGCAGGGCTGTCTCCACTGCTAATTCCTACTTTCCCCAAACTCAACAGGATCCACAGCAACAGATGCCACCGTGGAGAGAAGGAGCCTGGTGTTGAGCCAGGGTCCCCGGCCGGGTCTGCTGAAGCACTACCTTCCAGAAGGCCCACAGTTCTGGGATGGTGGGTCCCCTGGGCAGCCCACACCTGCACACCAGCTCTTAGGACCTGCAGGCCATGCATGACCTAGCGAGCCAGTCCGCAGTCTACAACCTGCAGGTCCTGTACCTCACAGAGACCCTTGAGAGGACACTGCCCTCCCGCAGCCCTCACAGCCCTCGGTACTAGCAGTGGACAGAGGTCCTGGAGGCTTCGCAGGCCCCTCCGTGGGGCAAGGCCAAGCACGCTGCCTGTCCCTCAGCCCCACTGGGAGAGCTGACGCCCCGCTACGTTCCCTGGCACACCTGCTGCAGAGCAGGGCAGCTGGCCACAGGGGCCATGTGCCAGCTGCCCCAAGGCCCAGCCACACCTGCCCACAGGTGAGTGTTGATGAAAGGGTGCGTTTTTTTCCTCTAAACCTTGCAGACACTGCTCTGTCTGGGGAGGACCAGACGGGAACGAAGGAGGCTCTGTGAAAGCAAAGCAGTAGAACTCCTCCCTTCGGTTTCCTGCTCAGAGCACCTGAGACTGCCTGCACCACCCTGGCTCAGATTACCAAGCAGGGACCCTTCCACAACTGTCCTGCTGTGGCCACCAGCTTCCACACAGCTGTGGGACCCAGGGGCACAGACACCTCACAGGGAGCGACACTGGGCTTCAGGCTCAGCACCACAGGTAGCCAGAGACCTCCAGGCGCTGCCAGGAGGAAAAAGGGCAGAGCGGGGACTCAGGAACCAGGTCCTGGGTGCCAGGCCCACAGAAGGGCGGCCAGGGCAGCCACCTCCACCCAAACTGTTGGGGACTTTGCTGGTTTTCTATTTTGTTTTTGTTTTGCTTGTTTGGTGCTGCCGAGGACTGAACCCAGGGGCGGTCTACCACTGGGCCACATCCCCAGCCCTTTTCATTTTTATTTTGAGACAGAGTCTCACTAAATGGCCCAGGCTGGCCTTGAACTTGCGGTCCTCCTGCTCAGCCTCCCAAGTTGCTGGGGTCACAGGCGTGCGCCACTATGCCGGGCTGGCTGGGATTTTTTTCTTTGAAGGGTGAAGCAGATGCAGAAGATAGGTGTGGCTTGGGACCATCAGGGCAAGTGACAGATCTCCACCTCTTGGCACGAGGTTCCAACAGCAGCACTCAGGTAATGGAGCGACATGGCAAGCGCAGCAGCCCTCACCCCTGCCGGGCAATGCACTCCACACACACCGCAGAACAGTGGGACCCTGCTTTAATGGAGGGAGAGCTTCGAGCAGCCACAGCTAGGCCTCCCGCGGCACAGCTCCTGGAGGTGAGCTCGGGCACAGGCCTTCCTCTGCCTCTGCCCCCAGGGCCTGGTGCCTGCCCCCTGGCTCCCCACACCTGCTCAGGTCAGAACACAGCAGCACAGGTATGACTTCTGTCCTCTCTGTCCTGAACTTGGGGGAGGATCACTTTGGGGCTGCTCCACACCAGTTTCCCTCTGCACACCTGCTGAGCTCATGGGCGTGTCCCAGGTGCTGGGGACCCGTGGTTTGTCCTGCTCCTCCTCTTGCTCCCAGATGCTATGCTGTGGCGCAGGCCTGGCCATCTGTGTGGGGCGGCAGGACTTCTGAGGGCGGGTGCTGGCGTGCTGGGCGGGCAGGGCAGGCTGGCCTCTCCGCAGGCGCTCTTCCACAAGGGCGTTCTCATCAGCCACACCTGAAAACACACCAGGGAGAGCACATGAGCGGGAGACCCGCCCTCAAGGGCAAGGGTGGCATGCCCTCAGGAGCTGCTTACCCCTAGAGCTACAAGACTTCTGGAAAAAGAAATGGGCCATTCCAGGCTGGCACTGTTGGGGCCTTGACTTACAATCCCACGGAATCATGCTATGGAAACAGCGGCTCCAACCCACCCTGCAGGGCAAATTCAGAACCATCCAGGCAAACACCCATTGAAGCGCGGATGGACAACCACCCTGGACAGGATGGCTGTCAACCCAACCGTGCCACCTGCAAGGAGGCGGCAGACCCAGTCAGCTCTTGGGCCTGTGCTGAGAAGAGTCCTCCTGTACTGGCTGAAGCAAGCACCCCGTGAAGGCGTGAGGGTGCCCATCCAGCCATCCTGCCAGGCAAAGGAGTGCCTTGGCCCTTCCTGAGCCCCAGCTCCTCCCACTGCCCCGGCCTGGGCCCTGGCATCAGTGCCCCCACCACTCGACACGAGTCACTCTGAAGGCCCTTATCAACCTGAAACATAGAACAGTTTCTGCACACTGACTGGAAACAAGGAAGAACATCTAAAAATAGTACTGTCTGAAGGACTGACTTTGATTCTCCACAAGTTCTCAACTAGCAGCACTTCATGGATCTGTTAGAGAAAGCACTGCTGAGACTCCTCCCAAACTACCAGGCCCATCTCCCTGGACTCCACTCCCTGCGAGGAAAACACCTGCTGCCCTCCTGCACAGCCCAAGCCCGGGGGAGGCAAAGGCCTCGCACCTGCTGAGGAACAAACCGAGGCAGGGGTCACCCTGTGGTGGCTCCTTCATCCCTGTTTCCCAGTCAGCCCAGGGTGTTTGCCACTGAAACTGAGGACGTAAATGCTAGTCAAGGGTCTCAAATGTCCTCACCTGCACACCACCCCTGGAACTTGGTGCCAGGCTCCATGCTGGGGCTTCACCCAGCTACAGCTCACACCAGCTGGAGCCAGCGACTCCCGGAGTCCACTCAAGTCCACCTTGCCTTGGCCCCTGCACCGTCCACAGCAATCCTATTTCTCCTGTCTCTCCGGCTACGTGACTGAGTTCCCAAAGGGCAAGCTGAGAGGCCACCACAGGCTGTCATGAGCTACCACATCAGGTACTGACTGCCCCACCCATCACTCACAGCATCCAGCATGTCCTGCCAGAGGGCCGAAGGCCCCCATGAGACATGGATCTCCTCTGGGTCACATGAAGCCTCTGGGCTGAGGGTGGCATCCTGGCAGTGGGCAGGATGTGGACTCTGCAGCGTGCCCAAGCCCTGAGGCCTGAGACCGAGTGGCTGTGTGCAGATGCCCACAGGCACCAGGGCTCAGAATGGCACCTCGGGACAGTCTGTGGCAGGCGGCCAGGCTGGAGGGGTGCTGCCACTGAAACGCAGCACCCTACAGAGAGCCCCGGCACAGGCTGGGACAATGAGGAGCTGGTGCCCCCCACAGGGCCTGGCATGTGAGCACCCAGGGCACGCAGGAGTTGAGAGATCCGTGCTCTCTGCCTCGGAAACAAGACACCGAAGGGGGCCCAGGCAGCCTGCTACACCTCGGCACTGGCCCTGGGCCAGCTGCAGCCAGCCACACCAGCACCAAGGAGGCCCCTTGTCCTGGGCAGGGAAGAGCAGGAAGCCAGGCACAGAGCCCATCCCGCCCGGAGCAGAATCCCAGCTTGAACTTCTGTTTAAAAACTACACTTTGTCAACCCAAGTGTGGACACTTGAGAAGGAAATGTAAGAGTTCCAGGTAAAGGACTGCCCACAGGCTGCCTGCTGCTGAGCACAGGACTCTGGGGGGCCAGCGCCGCCAACTCATCCACTTACCTCTGACTGCAAGGGCCCATCAGCAGGCGGGCCTGAGCCGGGCCTGAGCCGTCTCCTGTCCAAACACACGGAACAATGGTGTCTGGCACACTCTGCCATTCCAGGCTCCACCCAGGCACACACCTGCACACCTCACCAAGTGCTCCCAACAGACCCTCGTGCAGCCACGGGTCTTCCATGGAGCTAGCTCACAAGTCCCCAAGGTCCCACACTTCAGCCTGGTCTCTCTGAGGCTACAAAGCCACTGCCTGCAGAGGAGCCAGACTCTGCACAGCTGTGGCTCCTTACCTCTTCCACCTGCACCTGCCTCCCTGAAGGTGGGGCTGCAGAAAGGCACTGCTTCTAGAGCTGCTAGAGCTCTGTGCTCACTGTCAGCTTAGAGAAGAAAAGAGGGCTAAACAACACACAGGTAGAGCAGACAGACACTGCACACGCCTGCAATCCCAGTGACTGCAGAGGCTGAGGCTGGAGGATCGAGAGTTCAAAGCCAGCCTAGATAACTCAGCGAGGCCCTACCTCAATTAAGTAAAATAAAAGGACTAGGGGGGCCACCCGCAGTCACCACCCTGCCGACAGCCCAGGCCATGGCCACCCGCAGCAGAGGTGGACAAAAGCCTGCCTTGAAACAAGCTATCGTGAGGTGCAGTGACGCAATCTCCCAGTGCTTCTGGGCCGGCCCGGATCACTCAGAATTCAGAGCCATGTTGTTTGTTCTGTGTCTCCCACAGGGAGAAGGCCCAGGCCTTTGGAGGGGGCCAGCGGTAGCAGGCCACCACCTGAGAGCACAGTTCTCCAATCCTCCCTGCCCCAACCTGGGCGGAACCTCTGCTGCTGGCTCCCGGCTCCCACTTCCCTGTGCAGTTCTTCGGGCACCTCTGCTCCCAAGCAAACCCCTCCAGGAAGCCTTCCTGCCCGGGTCCTTGTGACTGGGGTGGGCAAGCACAGCACCTTTTAACCAATGACAACCAAGGCATGGAGGCCATAAGGTCCCCACAAAACCTCCACATTTGAAAAGTGCCTGGGAAGGAAATAAAGTGGAAACGGAGGTGCATGCAATTCTCCTCCAGAATTCCCACTGGTACTGCCCGACCACGCCAGCACCCTGGACTCCTCCCGTGCCCATTGCCGTGACACACAGGCCTTCAGTTAACCTGCACCAAACGGTGGCTTCAGTAACATGGGCCCATGTCACCACCCTGCAGACAGCTCAGGCCATAGCCACCTCCGTCACCACCGGAAGACAGCCTGGGCCATGGCCACCCGCGTCACCACCGGAAGACAGCCCAGGTCATGGCCACCCGCAGCGTAGAGGGTGGCCGCAAAGCCACAAGACGGGCTCCCGCCAAGGACTTCAAGCCCCAGTCCTGCAGCACAGGCCCGTGAGGGTGGCCCTGGGAGTACCTGCTCTCAGGCTCGCACAGCAGTGTCCCACAGCCAAGGGCCAGGGCAGAGGACTAACACTCCCAGGGCGCCAGCTTCTCTAAGCATCTTGACTTCCACTGCCACACAACGCCACTCAACCTGCCCTGGCTGGCTTTGGAATGTCCCGACCCACCAGGGTTGGTCTTCGGCCCCCTGCCCTCCCCACATTGTGGTCTGCAGACCTGCCTGGGTCTGACAGTAGCCCAAGGAACCCACTCCCTGTGATCCAGAGACTCAACTGTCCTCCTGTGCTGGGTGGGGCTGCTAACCACAGCAGGCACAGGCTGGTACTGGACGGGTTTCCACAACACAACAGAACTTACAACAGCGCCACACACCTAAGACACCACCATGCCCAACCTCCAGTGCAGGAGGCTCCCAGAATACCCAAGAGGCTGGGCCAAGCCAGGACCTCCCTTGCTTGTTCTTTCCCTCTGGGCCCTACCCCCTGGCATCCAGCCAAGCACCCAGGTCATGCTGGGGATCTACCCTCTATCTGCAGCCCTGAGCACAGAAACTCAGAGAGCCAGCAGCAAGCACTTCCGGGGGTGGGGTGGGGGGGCATGCCTTGAAGTCTCAGTGGCCAGGAAAGCAGGCCAGAGCGAGCACAAACATCACTCGAAGATGCTGCTTGCTGGAGAGCAGCCGATCCCAGCAACCTCCCACAGCAGCAGGGTGGCCAGCACCTTCAGAACCTCAGTCGGCCTGCAGAGGGGCCTGTGTGGCTCAGACACCATGGCAGAGGACGGAGGGCCCGCATGTCCTGGCAGTGCCACTGGAGGCCACACCAGGAACCAAGGAAGCCTTACTTCCTTTGTTGTCCCCAGTGCTGGAGATGGGACTGAGTCCTGCTAGACAAGCACTCTACAACCAGCCCACTTTGGGTTTTTTTTTTAATCAAGGATTGAACCCAGAGGCACTGGACCACTGAGCCACACCCCCAGCCCTATTTTTTTAATTTTTAGAGACAGGGTCTCACTAAACTGCTGAGGCTGGCTTTGAACTCGCTATCCTCCTGCCCACGCCTCTGCAGGCGTGCACCACTGCACCCAGCCTCAGCCCACTCTGGTCTACAACTATGAAGCTCCTGTCTGGGCGCCTAAATGCTGAATTACAGGTGTGTACCTCAGCTCTCAGCCTCCCCCTCAGCTAAGCCCTGATCAGGACAGGAGGACAGGCGGAGGCGGCCCGCGACACAGAGCGCGCAGCTCTCTGCCTGGGCAGGAGTACCCATCCGCAGGCTGTGCTGCGCCCCCTTGCAACTATGGGCCGCAGGCACCGCCAGGAGGGAGTCAAGGTTTCTCTTCTCTCAGGAAGGAGAATAAAATGCTAGAAAAAGAGGCTGAATGCATCTAAGACTCAGCCTTGATATTGCCAAGAAAGGATGGTATGGTGATGCTGGCACAACAACTGGAGATGGGGGTCTCCAGTGCTCGCTGCTCAGCAGTCAGGAGGCTGCAACCACGCCACACACACCCCTGCACTGCACCCTTCCCAGGGCCCGCTGTCAGGAGGACCAAAGGAGCAAGGTAGAGACAGGGAGGAAGAGCTGGCAATCGCCCTTGAGACTCCTGTAAGAGCACCAGCAACAGAACGCTCCACTCCTTAGAAGACAAATTTTAAAGCTCTGACTGTAACGAGAGTAAAGAATCCTTCCTGTACTAAGAGATTCAGGTAACAAAGCCCATGCAGGGACTTGGGCCCACTGCAGGAAGAGTCCCAGCA